AAAAAGGGGTGATTTGTACACTTTTAGTATTCCAAATGCAATTTCATGTGCGAAAAGATATGTTAACGACCAAAAGTTTTATTTTGTTGTGTAAAAAACTTTTCATTCAGAAATTGAAAAGTACCTGGAAGTGACAGATGAATGTAAGAAACTATTTGACCAGTCAAAAGATCCAATAGTTGTCATTTTACAACAAAATCAAGGTGGATTTGTTGACTTGGAAGACCATTTGCAAAACTCACTTGCACCTTATCGTATTATAGAATCAGAAGTTGCAATGAGAATAGACAAAAGTAGTGAACGTGTTATAAGGTTCAGAGTGGGCTCTGGTTTAATAGACCCCGAGACATTAGAACCAAGAGTCCCTGACGTCAATGGAACTTATGAAGGCCCACTTGGTCCTTGGTATGATTCTCCAGAAACAGACTTATTTGGTGATGTCAAGTTTGTGAGAACACAAAAATCGTTATTTAAAAAACATTATGAAATGAAGTACAATATGACGAATGTAAGAAACCCGAATGAAATTATTATTTTCACTGACCAATTCTGTTTCTCTGCTTGTAACGCGTTTGCTAAACAATTCAGAGAGAAAAACTCGGGTATTTTGGTCGCATATTCTGGCCTCGTTCAATCAGATTTAAGAGATGTTGGACAAAGTCCCACCGTTGTTATTCAAGACTCTTTGATTCATGGAAATAACGAAACTGTGCTGTTGGAACACGGAATGACTCTTTCAATATCTTTTGCCCCGAATTACCCACTCAACAGAACACACAAAACAGTACCAGATGAATTTATTGTACATCAACCAAATGAATACGCATTACTTGAATTTTATGAAGAAACAGAAGAATCATTAATTTCATTTTTGAATGAAGCACAAATCGTGTATGAAAAATACAAAGAGTTTTGTGTTGATGGCATGGTTCTATATGAAAAAAGCTGTATTGGAAATAAAAATAGTGTTGGCGGGTATAAATGCAAAAATGGGAAATATGACAGGAGTAAATGTGTACTTGTTGGATGCAAAAATGGAATAGAGCTCAATCAAACAACTGGTTTTTGTGGTGATGACAAAAACGAAGATTTCATCAATGGAGCTGTCACAACTTTGGTGTCACTATTTGTACTCGTCTTTTTGTTGTTCTAAACAAATATCTTTTATTGAGTTAAATATTTAAATATCTAATCATGACAATTACAATTATTTTTATAAAGATTTAATTTAGACAATATCAAGAGACAAAGAGAATGATTCATGATATTCAGATTAAAAAAATTGGCCAAAAACGTGAAGAAACAAAACCAAAGAAATGAAGATGCAAATAATTAAATATAATCCAGCTTTATTTACAGTTTCCTTCACTCGGTTTTCAATAGCCACCACTTAAAATAATTTGTTCGTCAAAAAAATAAAAAAATTATCAAAAAATAAACGGTTTTGTCATGTGTATAATTTGGACTTGACGAAAAAATAATTTACTAACCATTTAAAATAATTAGGTCAGTCAAAATTATAAAACAAAATTCATAAAATAAACCAAATTTAAATTATTTATTTTTTCATTAAAAATAAACAGCCGTCACAAATTTAACTGGTTCCATCATTTAGAATAATATAGATTATTTTGTAATTATTTAATAAAAAATAAACAACTAATAATATAAATGAGAAGAGCATCTGCTGATTATATTGATGTAAGAGATCCGAACGCAAGTGCCAATTATATAAACAACGCCCCAAACCCACTTCAAGGTGCACCACTCGAAACTCAGCCTTCAGAACCTTTCATATCACCTTCTGAATTAAAAAAACCAAGAGGACGACCAAAAAAATGGACCACAAAGTGAAACAACATATAAACATCGATACAACAAAATAGGTATTAATTTGAAACAGAGATTGGTGAAAGAATTTAGAGAACATCCAGATAAAAATTTAGAGGCTTTTTTCCCTTGAAATTGGAATTCCACTTAATTACTGCGAATCTTTACTTGTGAAACTAAGAAAGGGTAAAATATTAATCCCAAAAATCACTATAACTGCAAAAGCAGGATAACTCCATTTATACCTCTTATGTACAAGTATCTTAAAGAATCAATAACTTATTCTATGGAAAAAACACGTAGCAAAATGATAGAAGTTGTTGTTGAAGGAATAAAAAACATAGATGAAGTTGAATACATTGACCCGACAATTCTCGATAGTTCAAAAGATAGATTCAAAGCAATGGAAGTAGATGAAAAAAACAAAGAATTATTAAAAACTTTACTTGAAAAAGCTGATAAGGAAGTGCCATCAGAGTCAACGTTCTTGAGAATGGTCAAGGGCCAAATTAAAGTAAACAAATATCAAGACATTCCTGTGTTATCTTTCAAATGAGTAATAAACAGAGGCCCAAATTCCAACACAGATAAAAACTAAGATAAACAAATCGAAGCTTTGAATAATCTGAATGGTAGAATTAATGCTGGGTACATATGGGTGTGTGTTGATGAAACAGCATGGACTATTGCTTGCACATTTGTTAATGGATAAAGCGAAGTGGGCAAAATGTTTCTCGACTAAATTAAAAATGGTATGAGACTTTCAAACGATTAATACAAAAGTATGATGATGCTGGGATCAGAGCCGTCTTTTGGTGTGATAATTGCAAAATTCATGATGACATGGAAGAAATTGTCGAAGGCACCAATCATTGTGTGATCAATAATGCTGCATATTCTCCAGAAATGAATCCAATCGAAAATGTTTCTGGATTTTGGAAACGTCGCATTGAAAAAAATAAGGACATGGGAAAATCTCGGACACTTGGTAACACAAATAAAAGAAAGTTTTGAAGAGCTTTGCAGGTTCATGAAGATAATGCAACAATGTCAAAATGAAGTTTGGAGAAAAGTTTATGCAAGAGATGATCTTTCATTCAATACTATTTTTTATGATTATATTATAAAAATATAATTATATGGTTTGATAATATTTTTGTGTTTTTTAATAAATAAAAATTAAATAATTACAAAATAATCTACAGGGGTGAAAATGAAGGTATTAATTTGAAAGTGAATATATTAATTTAGGGTTCATTTTCTTTTAATCTATTGGCCAAAAACGAACTAACATGTAAATCATTAAATTTAAGCCATTTAATGCGACATAACTACAACAACAAACAAGTAAAATTGGACAAAAACCACTATTTCCAACACAGTCATGATTTTTGGAAAAGTAAAATATAGTTAATAATATAGTTACAAAATTATAAAATTTATTATAATTTTCAACACAAGAAATTATAACAATATCAAATATTTACTATACATTATATTATTCATGTTTATAATAAATTTATCATTATTTTGTTATTATTCAAACAACACTCGACATAAAAATGATTTACGATACTTTGGGTTGTGTTTCGCGGCCTTCACGACCGGCCTGCGTATGAAAAACACAAACCAAAATGTAATAATGAGCTGCATTAACCAATCTGAACGTCAATATAATATTTTTAAATAACTGCATTGATAATAAATAAATAAATAAACCATAAAGCTAACACTCACCCACGTGTTTAAACACACTTAAAATATTTATCAAGTTGTAAACGGGTTGTGTTTTGTCTTAAACCCTGAAAATAAAATTGAATAATAACAAATTTACTATAAAACACCGTCAGCTATTTATAATGGTTTAATTATAACAATTGTTACTATTGATTCATTTTTAACTTTAGCTGATTATTAAAAACACACAAATTCTTGATGAATTATTATATAACCATTGATATAATTAAAATACTATTAAATCATTAACATGTTGGAATCGTTACAAAACATATTTATTGATTCTTTTCATTTTGTTTGCATTGTTTTTCATTGTCAAATTCAAATCAAAGGGGTTGGCTTAATTTATGAATCATAAAACCTAGAAAAATGCCAAATTTGGCATCAAAACCCCTAAATTAATACATCCGCTTTCAAATTTATACCTTCAGTTTCACCCCTGTATATTATTCTAAATGATGGAACCAGTTAAATTTGTGACGGCTGTTTATTTTTAATGAAAAAATAAATAATTTAAATTTGGTTTATTTTATGAATTTTGTTTTATAATTTTGACTGACCTAATTATTTTAAATGGTTAGTAAATTATTTTTTCGTCAAGTCCAAATTATACACATGACAAAACCGTTTATTTTTTGATAATTTTTTTATTTTTTTGACGAACAAATTATTTTAAGTGGTGGCTATTGAAAACCGAGTGAAGGAAACTGTAAATAAAGCTGGATTATTATTTTTACATTAAAATGCAAATCTAAAAAATATCATTCATTTATCAATTGTTTTTTTATTTGGAAATAATAGATATAAAGTCGGATTTTTAATTAACGATGGAGATAATTGAAGAGTGGGGAGAAAGTCACACCATAATTTTCTTTTCTGATTCTTTTTACTAAAAAGAACTTTCTTTTTTTATTTAAAAATGAATTCAATAAAAACAGTGTTTTTGTTTGATTTTGAAATCGCCTTGATTCAAGTTTTATTATTTTTGATAAGTCTTTACTACCCTTATGAAGTACTATAATATCGCATTTTTTTCTAACTAACAATTACAAATTTTTATCAATACAAAACAACGATTGAACATTGTGTTTATTGTATTAAAATTTATAATAATTAATTATAATTATAAGACAATTTATATCAATTTTTATCATATAATTTGTTTTTTTACAGTTATCAAATTTAAATTATTTTGTATACTATTATGATTACTACAATTATTATTGAGTTACCACATTCCAAATGATATATTTTTTACTTTACATATTAAATTAAAAACTTTATTATTGCTTTGAAAAACATTCTAAACCAAACTTACCTTAAGAAATATTCAATTACTCCTTCAGATTCGATTTATCTTTTAATTCAAAATACTTTTCTCGATAAATATTATGGGTTTTTATTTAACTATTGTATATTAAATATGTATTATAAAAATATAAAATATTAATATGATTAATAACTAATCATACATTATACTATTTCTGAATTGTTTTATATTTTTAACAAAAAATCAAAAAAACAGTAAACCAAGTCGAATCATGTTGATAAAGTTCTCGATATCAAACTTCTAAGAAACTTCATCATCATACTTATCTTCGAACTCCGGTATGTCGTCTGCAACAACCGCTTTTCTCCTTCCAACAAATCGCTTTCTTTCAAATAACACTGGTTCTCCCAAGAAAGTCATCATCAATTTCGATCTTTCTGGAAAGAACTTGACGCGCAAGCAAGTCTCTCCACCCTTGACGCACTGGGTGTTGAAGAACCCACTCTTTCTCAACGCGTTGACAATGGTAACACCAGAAGTTGCTTTGTCCCTAGACGCGTAGATCGATATTATTTGGTTGGACAAAGGACTTCTGGTGAATTCAACCAAATCAGCCTTTGTTAATCTCCCCTCATATAGATCCCTTATAATGTCTTTCTTCTTTCCTTTGGCACAGTTGGCGTCTTCCAAGTTTAAAGTACCCAAAACATGGTCCAAAGATTGTAAATCAATTGGTTCAAGACTTAAGTCTTCGTCAACTCGAGGAAGTTGGATAAGTTTCTAACATTAAGTTTATTATAATTAATGTTTTATATTTTATTATTATACAAAAAAAACGTTTTGAACTCCAAAAACAAACACGTCAAGTAATTGAGTGATGTGTGAAGAATGTGAGAACAATTTCAAAACAGCCACGTAATCGTCGGTGAACCATTTGGATGCTTCTTCAC